TGTCTGAGTGCAGAAGTCATGCTACCAGCATACAAGTTCAACAAGGCTTTGCTTCCATAGAGTCTACATAACTGAACCGCAGAACATTGCCATCTTGTGTTTAATTAACATCCTGCAACCCGTATTAATGCAGTGTATTACATAAGTATTAGATTAAGAAGCAGCAGAAGGACCAAGCTTTTTGAGTGCAATGGATTTATACACTGGTAAGTCAAAGGATCAGAAGTAACAGATACATGAAGCTTTGTGAGTGTGATGAATTTTTATACTGTTCAAAGTGAGAGAGGCCTAAACTGTGTGAGGTCAAGCATTCACAAATCCAGAACATAAATACTATTGTGTCATCTCTTTGTCCAGAAAGCAGATGCTAGCCCGAATGATGTCTGAACAAAAATTGCACTGGAGAATACAAAGAAGGGAAGTAAATAAGATAGAGACATTGGGAGTGATTTTATAAAACATAGTGTAGTGCATGCATGAGCACGTTTTTATTATTTTTCCTTGCAATTGATTGGGTATACTTTGTAAAGTGCATTTTCACTTAGCTAAGTGAAAATTCACTTTGCAAAGTGAATATGCTCTACAGAATTTTGTAACTAGTTTGTGAATTATCAAATACCTATGCTCTGCCATTTGGCTTCCCACTACCCACTGAGAGTTGTTTTACAGGCCACTACCCAATGAGAGTGGTCTTACAGGCCACTACCCAATGAGAGTGGTCTTACAGGCCACTACCCAATGACAGCGGTCTTACAGGCCACTACCCAATGAGAGCGGTCTTACAGGCCACTACCCAATGAGAGTGGTCTTACAGGCCACTACCCAATGAGAGCGATCTTACAGGCCACTACCCAATGAGAGCAGTCTTACAGGCCACTACCCAATGAGAGCGGTCTTACAAGCTACTACCCAATGAGAGCAGTCTTACAGGCCACTACCCAATGAAAGCGGTCTTACAGGCCACTACCAAATGAGAGTGGTCTTAGAAGCCACTGAGATGGTCTTGTTGAACAGTGGAATGGAAGTCAGCTTAGCCTATCCAATAGGTCAATAAAAAGTCTAGATCAAAAATCAAGGACATAAAAGAAGTTTTTCTGGCTAAAAAGGTATTTATTTATTTCAAGTTCTATTGAATGCTCTTTTCCAGTACTTTTGCAATAAAATGTTAAAAATAGAGAGCAATAAAACTACAGGTACCGGAAATTTAGCTTTCCATAATACACTGCACACTAGGACACACACAGTGTCAAGCGTCTGTGATAGTGAGCCCTTGTAGAACGCCAACTTGTGGTTCCACGGGGCACAGAGTCTAAGCCCCATCCTGCTTCTACACCAGGGCTCTTTATGGTGGGGATGGACTTGCAGCAAGCTGGAACCAGATACGCCCAGCTGAGGATGCTGAGACCACTCGCATTAGCAGAGTACAGCAGCAGGAGACAACAGGAACTCCAGTAGACAAGCCGAGGTCTGGATGGGCAGCAAACAAGCACAGACTGTGGACGAAGCCAGGATCGGTACATGGGTAGTCAGACACAGGATACACAAGTAGCAAACAAACAGGAGCTCAGAGAACTATGAAGTTGCTCGGGCAATGTGAGCTAGACTGAGCATATCTTATATAGGAAAGCAAACTAGGAGGCAGGCCAGAAAGTGATGGAAGGAAATTTACCCACAGAATAGCAGGCGATGCACATAGGTGAGCACAGCCAAACCACACTTGTGAAAGGAATCAAGGTAGGAAAGGCACTGCAGCAAGGAAGTAAGAATACACAGGCAAGAAACAGCAGGCTAACTTGTGACAGACAAGGAAAGGGTCAGCACTCTGAGATGATCAGGGCTCTCAGGCTCCATGCACACGGGGCGTTTTGATAATGTTGGTAACGTTAGCTGTGTAAAGTCAGCTTTTTTAAGCGTTTTTGCTCCTCTAGAAACCTCTAGAAACTCCTCTAGAAACCTACTAATCCTGGGGTTTTTTCCAGCCAAAAATCATTGATTACAGTCTATGTGTGCATGGACACATAGGATAACATGCTGGGGAGTTTACTGGCTGTAGAAAAAAATGTCAAAAGCCAAAAACAGCCGCTGTAAAAATGTCCCGTGTGCATGAGGACACCATACAGCGAGGGAGACTAGCACTGTAAGCCAGTCAGAGCTTTAATACATTGCACAGTGCTAACAATGTGAACTACCTGTGAGAAATAGAGAAAACGTTATCAAGATTCTGAGGTTGCTGAGATTTCTTCACAGTGCAGGCACCAGGCAGGTAGGGTAAGGAAATTGGAAAAATTGTGCTGGACTGATAAGGCTATCTTATTGGTAATGCCATCTTATCTTAAGGTATTGTTGTTGATCTAGGTGATCTGGTTCCTGGGAAGGAAGTTTCCACACCCCAGAGGATCTCCATGGTCTCCTTTACTTGTAATGTAATGTAACAAAAATTTAAATTGAAGTGCCATACCACTGCTAACATGTTCAGATACAACTTTATTCTAATAAAAGGTCAGGGGGACAATAGAAAGAGTATCCAATGTGTTTTGGGGTCCAAAACCACCACCTTCATCAGGTCTTGAAACAATATAAATGGACTAGAAGTGAACTGGTGCATTCAATGGTAATTCTTCCAATGCAATTACAAGCACAAGTATTGTTAGCAGTTAGTTTGGACCTCCAAAACATGTTGAAGATGCTTTCAATTGTCCCCCTGACCTTTAATGGAATAAAAGCATGCTGGGACTAGTGGTGTGGCACTTCAATTTACGTTTTTCTAACTAGGCAGGTAGGTCACCAAGCTGTATTTTTTATCTGTAACAGAGAAAAATTAAGCTACCATCTTTGGTCATGTAATCACATATCAACTGCTTTTAAACGAGGGCTCCAGCCAAATAGCTACAGTTCTGTTCAAAATAATAGCAGTGTGCTGAAAAAAGCGAATAAAGCTCAAAATCCTTCTAATAGCTTTTATTTCCATCCACACAAATGCATTGGGAACACTACACATTCTATTCCAAATCAAAACATGAAGAAAAATAGATCAAATTTGTGTTGTTCCTCTAAAAAAATTTAAGAAAAGTGAATATTAGACTGTTCTAAAAAATAGCAGAGTTTGTATTCTTCTTTACAAACTCAAACATTCACTATATAAACTGAAAAAATGTTTGAAGATTTTGCTTTCCTTTGAATCACTTAATGAATATTTAGTTGTATAAGCACTGTTTCTGAGAACTACTGTACATCTGTGTTGCATGGAGTCAACCAACTTCTGGCACCTGTGAACAGGTATTCCAGCCCAGGATGATTGGACTACATTCCACAGTTCTTCTTTATTTCTTGGTTTTGCCTCAGAAACTGCATTTTTGATGTCACCCCACAAGTTTTCTATTAGATTAAGATCCGGGGATTGGGCTGGCCACTCCATAACGTCAATCTTGTTGGTCTGGAACCAAGATGTTGCACATTTACTGGTGTGTTTGGGGTCGTTGTCTTGTTGGAACACCCATTTCAAGGGCATTTCCTCTTCAGCATAAGGCAGCATGACCTCTTCAAGTATTCTGATGTATTCAAACTGATCCATGATCCCTGGTATGCGATAAATAGGCCCAACACCGTAGTATGAGAAACATCCCCATATCATGATGCTTGCGCAACCATTCTTCACTGTCTTCACAGTGTACTGTGGCTTGAATTCAGTGTTTTGGGGTCGTCTGACAAACTGTCTCCGGCCACTAGATCCAAAAAGAACAATCTTACTTTCATCAGTCCACAAAATGTTGCGCCATTTCTCTTTAGGCCAGTCAATGTGCTCTTTGGCAAAATGTAACCTCTTCAGCACATGTCTTTTTTTCAACAGTGGGACTTTGCGGGGGCTTCTTGCAGATAGCTTGGCTTCACATAGGCGTCTTCTAATTGTAACAGTACTCACAGGGAACGTCACACCTTCTTTGATCTTCCTGGAGCTGATTGTTGGCTGAGTCCTTGCCATTTTGGCTATTCTTCTATCCATACGAATTATAGTTTTTTTTCGTTTCTTCCACGTCTTTCAGGTTTTGGTTGCCATTTTAAAGCATTTGTGATCATTTTAGCTGAGCAGCCTATCATTTTCTGCACTTCTTTATATGTTTTCCCCTCTCCTATCAACTTTTTAATCAAGTTACGCTGTTCTTCTGAACAATGTCTGGAACAACCCATTTTCCTCAGAATTTCAGAGAGAAATGCACTGTAACCAGCATGTACAACATTTGCTGCCTTCCTTCCTTAAATAAGGGCAATAATTGCCACCTGTTTTTCAAAGAATGAATGACCTCACTAATAGAACTCCACACTGCTATTATTTTGAACATGCCCCTTTCAATAGTGATTCAATTACACAGAATCAGCAGCATGCATGTCATGACTGTTGGGTCTGTTGGATTTCTATTACTCTACTACACCTGCTAGTAAATTATTTGCCATGTAGAAATATCATTTCTACCAAAAACAGTGATTGATCAGGTTAGTAATGTCTGACTGCTATTATTTTGAACACAACTGTAAATACACAGCTGAATCCTCAAATGGAACAGTTCAGCTACCAATATATTAGTGACTTGTTTTTGCCACTCTGGCAAGAGTTATTAACAGGCTTTCTCTCTCCGGTCTGTTCAATGGACCATGAGTGGACCACGCCAAATTTGGGAAGTCCATCTTGTACCCTCCCTTTTTTCTAAGCCCCTAACCCCAGTGCTTGAAACAGGTCAACTCACTGGCTCACGGCACTGGCACTTCCACTCACAACTATTAAAAATACATTCTGGGCACACAGCAACTACAGACTGTTTTTTTTTTATTTGCATGGAGTTGTTTTAAACTTTCTTTAATCTTTACAGAGCTTCTCCCTCCAGCAACAGATGGATGATAATACTAACAAAGTTCAGGAAATGTAAGAGTTTTAAAAGATGTAAACTAAAAACTGGATGGATAATTCCAGAAAAAGTTAATTAAACCAACTTCTTTTATTTACTAACCTGGCAGAGGACATCCGAGTATTTCAACCCTCATACATATGCTCCCATCTTCATACCAAGAGCGGGGGTTAATCCGAATATAACGGCCAACCAAAGGTTCTAGAAATTCATTTAGGACAGGAATCTCCTTCTCACTGTTGCCAGGAAATAGCTGTAAAAATGACAAGTACTCTACTGAGATACAGAAAGCCAAATGTACACTGACATGCCAAGGATAATGCATCCTTTATCCAAGGAAAGAATGGATTCAGACAATAAAAAATCTTATACAATAAGTAACCCATAGTGATTAGTCAGAAATCATCTGTGAAAGGACTGTTATAGTGGAAAAGCCTGTATTCGTTTTACTGTGTGTTGATTAAAATGTGTCTAAACCTCAAAAGAAGAATGTAATATATTGCAGCTTTCAAGTCCTTAGATATGTTCTCTGCATTCGTTTTTTTAGATTTTTTTTTCCATTATTTTCACAATTTTGTGTTACTGTCATTGCAACTGCTCAAACACCCCATGGTAGTGTTATAGTTTGTTCCAGCCCCTGTCATTAACACAGGAGATACTGTCTGCATCAATTCAACACAAACTGGGACAAGGTTGTGCAAGTGACAGCAATTTAGCTAGGTACAATACAGTCAAAAAAATATGCAAATAATCCCCCATACAGCACTATTGGTCTACATTAGCATAAACTCTAAAAATTGCATATAATAAAACATGAATAGCATAATCAACATAATCACCAAAGTTATATCTAATAAAATATGAGTAAGCATATAATCCAAAAATCAGTGTTCAAAGTGTCCATACATGCATAAAGTGTCCATTTAGCAAACAAATCCACAAACGTGCTCTTGCGCAAAGATTCACAAAATAATTTAGGCTAAGTGCTGTTCAAGAGTTCTTCAGTGATCTTCCACCATTAATTCAGAGAATTGGGGTGATGTGATTTCTTACTCCGACCAACGCGTTTCGTGACTTGGACGTTTTTCATAACAGCAATAGCACTGTATAGGGAATAGGTGCATATGCACTAAATGCTTTTAATGCATTTGAATACAGCTGCTGTGGTTCTGTTTATTTGAAATTCTATCCGCTGGTGTATAGCAGTAAAAATAGTCGAAAAATTGGAACAAAGCTTTGGACTTATATGATACCACCAAAGAACTAAGAAAGAGCATACTACTTATGTTCACAGTTCTCTAATGGTTAAAACTGAAGTTTAATAACGTTTTTTGTTGAATGCAGCACCAAACACATTAGTTATACGTGAAGGTGTGTATCCTTTATCTTGCATGCTGCTGCTTCTTGAAAAAATCCTCCTTTAAGTGCTATCTTCATAGCTGTCAAATATTGCCCTTAGTGGCCACAGTCTTCCTGTGTTGTATGGGTTAACAGTAACTGCTGCTAGTGTGAAGAGTTGTGTCACCAATCCCCTTCTGCCCTCTTTGCCATTCAAGAACCATGCACTACTATTCACCCACAATGCAATGCTTTCTGTGAATAGACAGTGGAGATCCTGTCATTCATCTCTCCGTCTCCTTTCAAAGAGTATGATGCATTGTAGGAGAATAGTAGTATGAATTGTAAAAGGTAAAAAGGACTAAAGAAGAGTAGCAAACAATGATATGCAAAGCGCAATTGCAAACAAGCTCTTTTTTTTATCGGTGAAAGATAACTCTCAATAGGTTGCAATTCATTTTTTGCCTTCCTAATGCATTTCATCCATTCCCCTACAGAGAACTCGCCATTGGAAAGAATGGAGGCTTCTGTGATAGACCCAACCGGGACAGGGGATTTTGGAGGGGACTAGGGGCTAGCCTTCTACCCTCTGATTATGGTACTTGGAGAGAGAAGATCATTTTCTAATGATGGACAACAACGTGATGAATGTTGAGAGCGGGGCTTGGATTAATTCTTTGCATAAAGACAATAAATCTTCCTTTCTGGAGTGGATGGAAAGGTGTAATATTAATCTTATACAGGTTAATGGTCAGAGGAAATATGGTGGCCCTCATGCGGACTGGATGGAGTAGCATCTCTATTTGGGACAGAAATATTTATCAACAATCTCCCTCAAGTAATCTATGAAGATAAATTAATTCCACTTTTTCAGGCTATTGTAATATTGTATGAGTTTTGTCTCATGATGGACAGATTGCATCGGTGGGGGCCAGACACCTGAAAGGCAGCATGTGTATTCCTATGTAGGCACTGGACTGTCTGGGTGTGTTCCCTGATTAATCAGCTCAAAACAACCTGATGATGAGGACTTTTACTGCATTTTGTTTATTAAGGTGGGATGTGTTTATTGTGTCCTTGTCCCATCATTAATTGAATTAGTTGAGTCACCTATTGTTTCTGTCTGTCTGGCTAGTCCTTGGAGGTGCCTATATGATGGGATTAGTCGGGTGTCAACTTCACCATGTTATCTAGTCAGTGTGGCATGTTTATCCTAATATATAATATTTGTTTTATTGTTCATGTGGGGATTGCCTATATTTCTGAAGTGTATAAAAACACTGTTCAATAAAGTAGTTCCTGTTTTGCATCTAAGCTAGTGTCAGTTAGTCTTGGGTGAAATGCCCAGCTATAATATCTTGGTCTTGCGTCCCAGGGGCGAGGAAGCAGTTCTCTGACAGAGTCAGTGACAGGCAGTCCGTCATAGTTTCCATTTCTGGCCTTATGAAAATACTAATTGCCTGGCTGTTTGCTGCTTCGTGACTTTAAGTTGTCAACACAGTATGCTTAAAAATCTTTGACTTTTTCTAACACCTGATCTCCAAGCCAAGATTGTATTGAGCCAAAGGGTCAAGTTTTGTAAATGCCAGGCAGTTAGCATTTTTTTTTAAAAGGAGGTCAGCAATGGTAGCCCAAATGTTTGTCTCATGACAGGTTTACTTGAATAGGACACCCACAATTCACATGCCTTGTAGCAATTAAGCACTTGAACCATATCTGTAGAATAATAAATACAGGCAGTGACTCTTCATCTCAGCTCACTGCCATGCAAAATATGAGTTTCCCATATGCCGCTTTTCAGCAACTGACCTGGCAGCTTTGTATCTTCCTATCTGTAAATCCTGCAGGATAGGGATTTTGTGCACTCAGCCGCTGCTAGTAAAACCACAGCTTCATAAACTGCAGTTTTATGGAAAGAGTCTTCTTCCAGAAGAAATCTGGCAGCAGAATGCAGTTCTCTGAAGATTCCACTGAGCATTTATGATTAAGTAACATTAACTACTTGCATAGGGGTTACTGGAGAATAATATGAGCAAAGCTTATTATTAAAAACATACAGCCAATTTCTATAAAAAAAATCAAAGTATAATAAAGTGAACTTAGACTGCTAACACTTTGCAAATTGCTGTTATGTAGATATACAGTATAGTATGTGGTAGTAGCAAGACTCATTAATTGGCACTCTTTTGCTAATGAAAGCTTAAAACCCAATTCCAGGCAATTATTTTAAGCATCCTCCAGCAATATGTGATGCCCAGCATTAATCATCCCAGAAATCTGAGGACATAAGGTGAGTGTAGATAGGGTGTCAAGGACCTACCCCCTAAGGGAGCATCACCAAGATGCCCTACAGAGCTTGTGTGTATTGAGAGTGGTGCTGACATCAACACATCAGCGCTGCCCTAGGATTCTAATGATTTGTTTTATATACAAGACACCATGTGGCTAAAAGATCTCACTGGCTGACTGAGAAAAAAATTACACTTTTCCTATTTTCTACTAAATTATGATGACATAGTTGGCATTACTAGAGACTGAGGCTGGACATTTTCCAGAAATAATTGGTGGTGTGAGATGTGTCAGCTTCTGTAGTGTCCCTCAGGTGGCGGGATATTACACAGGACATGGGGGGTTGCAGGCAGTCTGCAAAAAATGGGCAGGCTGTCCTGGAGAACGAGGGATACTGGCAACTATACGGCTGATGCCACATTGCACTGCAGACTGATTACTTATGTAAAACGTGATGTAAACCAATTCCCTATACAGTGCCTTACTTAATATGCTAAAAGGTATGTAAGTTAATACTGCTGTCAGGCTGTGGCCTTCCTCCTTCTGGAATTCCGACCAACTGTATATCCCCTAACCTCCCACACTGCTTTTTAGCTCCCAAAGTGACCCCCTACCTTCCATAATAGCCTGCAGTGCCCCCCCCAACCACATTGTCCCCAGACCCCCTGAGAGCCCTCAGCACCCAAAGTGCCCCCAACCTCCTGCAGTGCCACCCAGCACCCTACAGTGTCCTCTGGCTGGCTTCACAGCCTCCAGCTCCACATAGTACTCCCAACCTCTAACAATGTTCCTTAGACCCTGAAGGGCCCTACAGTCTTCCACAGTGCCCTTGTAAAGCCCCCATCTCCTTCCAGAAACTACATCTCTTACAGGGCAACCATGTCTGCTGCAGAGTCCCCCAACTCCCTCCAGCACCCCCATCCCTGCACAGTAACTCCACCCCCCTTCAAGTGTTTCAATAATAATTGTGTATTCTCATACTTTTATTGTTCATTACCTGTTTTTTTTTTCTTTTTAATACTATTGGAGCATGGAAGGTTTTGGAAGAAGTTACCAGGTCCTGGTCTCAATGAGATTGAGAAACACTGCACTAGTAAATAAAGAACCAAATACACTGCAACATACAGTAATAGATAGATATTTAAATGTAACTGCCTTACCACATCTCCAGTTCCATTCTTTGCCACCACCCAGCTGTGGCTGTCATTGCTGACCAACACTCTAAAAGAGGTCACCCAGTCACTCCTATGAAGAAATAGAATTAGTGAATTCTAACATCTAACCTGGCACAGTCCATTAACCACTGATGTTTTCACAATACTGCTGTAATACAACTATATTCTCAAAACCTGGAGCAAAAATGGAGCTGCTTCCCATAGCCAAATAACAGGTCACATCTTTTGTTTAGAATCAGAATGAATATGGGCTGGACATTTTTATTGTCCAGTTTTCATAAAACCAGACAATAAGCAGTTTCTGTAAAAACCTATTTGGTTTATACTTAAAAAAAGAATGTGGCTGCCATGGGTATGTGTTGCTATGGCTAAGTTGGTGATTTTTTTTTACAGCTTAGATAGGTGAATTGTTATTTTAGTTACATGTGTTGTGTTTGGAAGATGGTTTCCCCTATGGAAATGCTAATGAACTCGTGGGACTGGTTTATGAGCTCAGCACAGGAAACTTGCTACAAGATATGATGTAGCAAGAAATAGGGGGAAGGAAATAGGATTTGAAACCATGTGCTCAAGACAAAGGGGCACTAGAGCTAGGTGTGGTTCTGAGGACTTTGGAGAAGCAGGAAGCAGTCTGGAAGATCCTGGATCCTAGAAGATGACTCCATCTTAAAGAAAGATACAAGTTAAATAACTGTTTAGTTTATGGCCACAAACATTGTTACATGCTTATTAGCTAGGAAGATAGTCAACTTGTGCATGTTGTAGGCATATTTTATTAAACCGTACTTTGCATGCTATGAATTGTTTTTCCTACAGTTGTATGTGCAGCCTTTTCTGTTTAGTAGAGCAAATATTAATACACTATAGAATTGTAAGTTTCCTTGACTTATATCACAAAAGAACCTTCATAGACACCAAGCAGAATAGGGTAACAGCTCCACTTTTGTTTCTGTAAACCTTCCCGGTTTGGCGGATTTATAAAATGCGAAGAAAATAAAACTCACATTCTGTGTTTTATGTGGTACAAAGGATCTATTAGTTCCAAGGCATTAATGTTAAACTCTGGGAATCAGACAAAATCTACCCTTGCAGTGTCCCCCATCCCAACCATGCTTGGCTGATGCCCCAGGAAGCTGGAAATCAGTGAGCTAGAAACCTCTGTTTCAGTGATCTCCATTTCTTCCAGGTTCCGAGTGGCTACCCTGATGATTTGTGAATACAGGAGGTTGACACTCAGCATGGGCTTAATTCAGAGAATGCTTTCATTGGATAAGGTAGACAGTGTGACGTCACCGCTCCACCTCTCCACCTCATCCAATCAGAGAATGTAATGTTGATGCACAGTTGGGAGACAATTGTCACTATAGCATCAGAAAGTGCATGACAAATCACCAAGGTATTCTTTTAATGAAAGCTGAAATTTTTAAAGTAACTTTGAACATTGTTTTCAGCTTACATGACATATTAGTGATTGTTTAACTTTATTTTTATTTTTCGGCTTAATTTTGTATAACTCTTTTCTCCATAAAGATTACATAGAAAATGTAAAGGATTATAAAGGAAAGGGTTGTTTCTCATAGCAACCAGCTGTCAATTTTCCAATGATAACAAATACGATTATGAAAACCAGAATCACTGCCGATAGTAATTGGATTCCAACTGTCACTTGTTCTATGGCAAAGCAATGGAGTCGCAAGACCCAATAAAAATGGAATTCAACTGAATGGAAAAGTCAAAATAGTCACATCTCAATCATATCCAGATTTGCGAAAAGACTATATAATCAATAGCCCTGGCCAGTAATAAACAAAAAATGATTTTACATTGTTAAAGTGTATTTAGAGCCCCAATTTTTTTCCTTTGGTTAGACTAGGTGAGGGTTAAAACCCCAGTCAATTTTTCGTGATGTTGTCTGTGTATCATTGGGGAAATTTCCCTTAACTTTCAGAAAACTAGATGAAATCTTCAAAAGTGAGGGGAATTCCCCTTCTCGGCTGAGGGAGGGGGCAGTTACAAATAGGCAGTTTAGCCACAGTTTTACTGCCCCCTTTGTGTGTAAATAATCCCTTAGATAGTTGTTCTAAAGGCCCCAAAAAGCAATTTCCCCTTATCTCTTGTTCCGTGGACAACTCTAAAATGTAATTATCTTTTTTGGTGACAATGGTCAATAGTATAAACAGAGGGATCAATCTCTCCTGCACAGACAGACATAAAACCTTGACAGAGGGTCTATACCTTCTCTACTTTATCTGAAACTAAAAAAAAGGTTTTTGTCTAGAGATACACTTTAATGGAAACCTGTTACATGAAATTCATGGAGGTTGCCATAGCTGACCTTGACATCTGAAAATGCCCTTTAACTTGCTTGGTTCTAAATTATTTTGGCTATATTTGTGAAGGTTCTCATTTAATCATGTCAGGTCAAGGTACATCTTGTAATAGTCACCTTTAGCTGGTTCTGTAATACTGGAGATGTTTCAACACTCATCACAGTAACTTTCTCAGCTCTAAGAAAGTGTCAAGTACAGATTCCATGTGGCTATAGATGCTAGAATATATTCTTGGCATTCACCAGAGCTATTTAGATAAGTTGCAAAACATTTTCATCATTACAGTAGAGTTGAAGTTAACTAAGTACTGCTAAATATTGTGGTTATACATTGATTAAGCAGCCTGCCAATTTCCTTTTTTACATTAAAGTAAACCTCTCATGGTTGATATGCTGTATGCATACATTTCCAGCCTTTCCTTGTGAAACTACTGGTTGCCTAGCTGTTATATGCTCTTTTTGGCTTTAATACTTTGATTCACAGATCTGTAATAAGCTTGCAGATAAGGAGTTCTGATTTTCCTAGTCTGCATACTTGTCCCAGGCCAGAATTTAGAGAGTATTGAATGTACAGCATGGGTCAATAAATGGCGGACCACAGTCCAGGACCGGACCGAGCAACAGTCCTGTTCGGATTGTGGCTGTGCCACTGTCACAGCTGGGTGTTCTTTCCCGCCGACTGTAAGGATGACGTCGGGGTGGGAGACTCGAGAGAGGACCCCAGGATAATTAGTGCCTCTGCCCAGCCAAATGCACTGTAGCACTGTGCAGGGGAGACTTGCATTAAAAGGGGTACTGTGTTGTGAAGGGGCACTGTTAAGGGGCACTGTGTTGTGAAGGGGCACTGTGTTGTATTAAGGGTCATTGTAATGTGGCACTGTGATGAAAAGGGACACTGTGATGCATTATGGGGGTACTATAATGTGTAAAGTGGCACTGTGATGTGTAAAGGGGTACTGTGATGTAAAGAGCACTGAGTTGTAAAAGGGCAATGCAAGGTGAAGGGGAACTGAGGACACTGTGGGACCCCTTTAAAGGGGGGACTGTGATGTACAGGGGGCCTGGATAAACTGATGTAAAGAGAGGACTGTGATGTAAAGGGCACTGTCATGTACAGGGGCACTGCCTTGTAAAGGAGGGCTGTGATGTGAAGGAGACTACGATCTGAAAGGTAGGCTGAGGTTAATGATGTACAGGGGGGACAATGATGTGTTATAGCACTAACACGCGAGTCAGTAGGAAATTTTGTTCACCGGACCTCTATAAGTTTTAATTCAAGACCCCTGATCTAGAGGATCCATATAACTGCCAGGCAACCATAAATTTCAAAAGGAAAGGTCATTGGAATGACAACAGCATATTTCTTTCATGAGTAATTTTTTTTTTTTGCTTTACAATGATCTTAAACCCATTTTTGTAAGATGCTTCCTCTGCAGTTTAAGTTTTTCTATCCTCCTTGTGATGCTTCCCTCACAATGGCCAATAGTGATAGAGGCTCTCCTTACACTGTCCACCAGCTAAAGAATGCCCACTGCATTGACCAGCAGTGAAATCAGGCTCCCCTTACATTGGCCATTACTGAACAAAGACCCCCTTCACAAAGGCTACCTGTGAGAGAGAGCCTTCTTTTACAATTTCCACCAGTGAAAGAAGCCCCGCCCCCCTTACATGTGCCACCAGTGAAATAAGCCACTCTTTACATTGGTCACCAGTGTAGTAAGGCCCCCCTTACACTGGCCACAAGTGGGGGGGAGACTGTCCTTATATTGGCCAACAGTGAAAGAAGCCCACCCTCCCTTAAAATGGCCACCAGTGAGAGGAGAGCCCCAGATACGTTGATGGCCAGAAGATGTTGTGACTGGGGATCAGTTGGAACAATGCTCCTAAATTGCTGGTCAGTGGAAAGAATGTCCCTCATTACAGATAGCTATAAAGAGCATTGCTTATCTGAGAGTCGAGGGCAGAGGTTCCACTGGCTCCACATTTCTTGCTTTGCCAAGTGACACCAGCCCTGGAACTACAGTGTGAAGGCACTATAAGGTGGGAGATTAATTTGCCACTACTCAAGGAACCCCTGGAAATCTCTGAAGTAACACTAAGATTTCATGGAATCCTGGTGGAGAAAAGTCATTCTATTTTTTTTTAAAGTCTGCAAACGTGCAACTATAACGAAAAACCCGTAAGTGTTCACAAAAAAAGTGCAAGTGCAAAACACCACACGAAAAAGTGCACTTAGGGGTGTGCTTTGTCCTTACCCCGAAGGGGATGGACCACTACACTGATCCCCCGGGGCATGAAGCTCCTGACAGGGACAAGGTTCCCATTTGGTCCTCCTGGCCAAAAGGCCTGGTGGACCACCGTTCCTTGTGTTCAGCCGAAGCCGGACACCCAGTACTTGGTCAGGGGGCTCTCCCGAAGAGAAAACCCCCTAGGGACAGGGGAGGAAGGAACCAAAAGGCCACACATCCTCCCCCTAGACTTCAGGGCAGGCCCGAGGACCCACACCCTCCATCCTGTGAGGAAAACACACACATAAGTAAAGAAAAAGTGACAAAACGTGGGAGATGTTAAATTAAATAAATAGAAAATAAAAAAAAGGTCGTGCCAAATTGTGCACAGACCAGGCCCTGAGGCCTGTAGCAAAAATTGCCCTGATCCTAGCCAGAAGGCCTGGTCCTAAGGGCGCTGTGCAGAAAAAGTTTGTAAACAAGTAACCATGTGCCATTTTCACACAGTGGGGT